ACAGAGACAGAGTGAGAGACAGAGACAGAGTGAGAGACAGACAGAGACTTTCACAGATATATTTTTCACTTCCACTTTTATTTATGATCTATGTCACTGATTTATGCATTTTTGATGATTATTAGGAACCACACGATTGTGTTATACACTTTTTTTCTTCAGGCAGCTCGGCACATTGTCATTTTTATTTTCACGTATACACATTCACAGCGGGTGTACATCTTAGTGCCTGGTAGCTTATAGGTTAAATATTGGCGCAGTACATCTTTTTGTTTATTGAGAACAAAACAAAAGAGACATTGAGGCCTTGTTCACACCAAATGCAGAGCAGATCCGGTCAGGTTTCTGCACACGCACTTTTTTTTTTGTCGCGTTTCTGATGCGTTCCAGGCTCTTTTTGGTTAAAAAAAAAAAAATGTAAGTTTAAAATGGGCTTTCAGTGTGTTCCATGCGTTTGATGCGTTCCAGAGCAGGTAAAATAGGGCCTGCTGCAGTTTTTTCACCTGCTCTGGATCTGCTCTGCAACTGCACGCTGCAATGTGAACTGGAGCAAAAAATACCATTTGAATACATTGGACGCAGTTTTGATCCGGTCTGCAACTGATCTGCTCCACGCTTGGTGTGAACAAGGCCTAAGTGGGCAGTTTCGGAAGCACCCTTCATTTTGGCAGTGTCAAGGGGCAGCACCATTGCCTTATTAAGGAATTCCAAGTACATAAACTCAGTTCCTTTAATAGGTTTATTTCAAACAACTAGTAAAAAGGTAGACTTTACTTTATTGCTTCTTTGCCAACATCCAGATTTTCTAGCAATAGTGTGAAGGCATAGCTCAAAAATAAATGAGCTAACAGTTACAGTATTTATTCCATTTACCTGGTGCATACTGGGGTTACGTCCTCCCTGAGTGTGCTCTGGTCTGTAGTACCAGAAGAGACTCATCATCAGCTCACCTGGCAGGAGAATGTGGAAAACATTAGGACCATCATACAGTAGTATACACTTTTAGTTCAAAAAGTATATTTTACTTGAGTATCAGCTGCTATTTAGATAGGGACAAGGGAAGTGAGCACAGACGTTTTGATATTGTAATCATTATACAGTAGCATCTTAAAAGGAGAACTAGAGAAAGGAGGACTATTGGAAATGTACTCTTTCCCAAAAGTTTGAACTGCTGCAGCTGTCACATGTCAGCTCTTCTGCTCGAGAACTGAGTGATCACAAACCGCTGATTGCACAGCTCACGGCCTCTCCCTGCAGAGAGCAGAGGCCATCAGTCACTGTTCGCCACAGGGATTGTGTCCTCCCCTCTCTCTGTTCCTCCGAAGCTAATTGGAGGGACAGACACAGCTAGAAGTCAGGCAGCGAGGTGGATCACAACAATATTGCTGGGGTCTTTCCCGGCTGCAGTGCGGCTCTGTGCTGTGAGCACATAGCTGACTTTGGGTCACAGGAATACATTAGTAAATATACTCCTGCGATCCAAAAGAGAACTAAAACCAAAAAAGTGGATAAAGTGGGGTAGGGTTAGGACCCTTGTTGGGTTTTACTGCTACCTGGATAGTCCCTTCACTCGCTGTTCTGACAATGGTATAACAAGACAGGAAGTAAGGAAACATCTGCAAGAAGGACACAGCCAGAAAGAAAAACTGACAAAGTTTAGCCTTCCCTTGCTCTACTAAACAAAAAATATTATAATACATACACAGTGGATACAGAAAAATCTACGCACCCCTGTAAAAAGGCCAGCTTTTTTAGATGTATATAAAAAATAAAATCAGGACCACAATAAATCATTTCAGATTTTTTTTCCACCTTTAACGTGACTTATAATCTGTACAATTCAATAAAAAACAAAATAAAACGGGTTTATTGGGGGAAAATAATAATATAATGTGGCTGTATAAGTGTACACATCCGCTTATAATTAGGGATGTGGCTGTGTTCAAATTAATCAATCACATTCAAACTGATGTTAAATAGTAGTTAACACGTACCTGCAATCAATTAAAGTGACTCGTTTAAACCCACATAAAGTTAGACAACCAAGTAAATGTCAGAAAAATCTGACTAGAACTGCTTCTTACAGCAAAAGCCATGGTCCGCAAAGAGCTTACAAAAGCATCAAAGGGATCTCATTGTTGGGAATTATCAGTCAGGAGAAGGGTACAAAAAAAACTCCAAGAGTGACAGTATCAAGAACTGGAAGTTCCTCCAAAATGGAGGACAAAACAAGAAAAATGGTCCAAGAGGCCTACAGCAACATTAAGGGTCCCCACACACCTTCCGATTATCGTACGAGAATCGCGGGAAATCCCGCGATCGTACGGTGTGTGGAAGCCGTGCGACCTCTACTACTGTAAGGTCGCACGACTTTAAACTTATGGACATGTTCGAAAACCCGCCGAGCATCGTACGATGTTCGGCGGGTTTGTGGCATGTCCGTACGATAACAACCGCACGGGCCGGTGTGCGCAAGCGCACACTGCCCGTTCGGCATTGCTGTCATCGGAAGCCCGCCCCTCAGGGGGCGTGGCTTGCGATCGCAAGTACGATCTGCCTATGCAACATAGGCAGATCGTACTTTTTTTAAGTACCTTACAACCCAGCCTAAAGGAGCAGCAGGAATTTCTGTCAAGTACTGATTGTGTACTACATGTGACAGCAATCTTCCATATTCTTCATATGTCTGGGCTCTAGGTTAAGGTGGCAAGACCACAGCCTTTTCTTACTAGGACAAACATCCATGCCCAGCTACATCAAACCTGACAAAAGCATGTGGGAAATGTGTTATGGTCTGATGAGACCAAGATTGAACTTTTTGTCCATAATTCCAAAAAGTATGTTTGACCCAAAAACAAACACTGCACATCACCAAAAGAGCACCATACCCACAGTAAAGCCTGGTAGTGGCAACATTATGCTTTGGGGCTATTTGTCTTCAACTGGAACTGGGACTTTAGTAAAAAGGGACTTCTGAACAGTTCCAAATATGAGTCAATTTTGGCACAAAACCTTCAGGCTTCTGCCAAAAGTTGAAGAGGAATTTCACCTTTCAGAACAAACCAAAGCATACCTGCAAATCAACAAAAGAATGGCATCACCAGATGATCAAACTTCTGGAATGGCCCAGTCAGAGCCCAGACATGAATCCAATTAAAAATCTGTGGGGTGTCATGAAGGGGGCTGTGTACAGGAGATGCCCTCGCAATCTGACAGATTTGGAGCGCTTTTGCAAGGAAGAGTGGGCAAAGATTCCCAAAGCAAGATGTGCCATGCTGATAGACTCCTAACCCTGAAATACTGAATGCTGTCATATTGTTTCCCCTTTTAAAGATGTTAGCTTGTTTTTAATTGAACTGCAAAGATTATAGGTCACACTAAAGGTGGAAAAGAACTCTGAAGTGATTTATCTTGGTGATTTTTTTTTACATCTCCAAAAACTTGGCATTCTTACAGGGGTGTGTACACTTGTATGACCACTGTATTCTGCCCATAAAGAGAAGAAGAATTACCGTATTTTTCGCTCCATAAGACGCATCCCCCCCAAAAGGCGGCTGGAAATGTGTGTGCGTCTTATGGAGCGAATCCTTAGTTTTTTGTACATTTAGCCCTGCTAAAGAAGAGCTAAACGTACAGTGAAAGCCGCTGCTTGTTTAATACAAGTGATCTATTCAGATCACTTGTATTGAAACTGAGTGGACAGCGGCGGCGGCGCCCCCCCCCCGCTGTGGTTTACAGGTCCCCCGCTTTTCTGGGGGACCCGTGACCACGAGATAGGAGCTCACCCTAGAGTAGATTAAGAACATCCGATCTTGGTCTGCTCTGTGTGATCACCGAGACCGTGGCGCTGTGATCACAGCGCCTCCTGTCTCAGCAGTCACTCACTGCAGCTTCCGTCACAGAAACTGCCTGCGTCCTATGTACCGGTGCGCCTTATGGAGCGCAAAATACGGTCATTTTACAAAGAATTAAACACATTCTGGGGATAACGTAGGGATGAGAGAAAACGTTTTAAATTCCACAAAAAAATTTTGACCAGAAAGTAAAAATGTATTGTCGAAATGCATTACAGTAAACTTGATTTTTAAGGAATCAGTGGGTTTTAAATGGCCTCTGAAGGCTAGAAAAGCACCTTGTTAACACTGCTGGACCTATTGTGTCGAAAACTGGCCTGTGTCTTAAATGTAGCATACACTACTAGGAACATTGTAGATGAACACTACAGAAAATGCTCGCGGTATACTGCGGCGTCTCAGCATACCGCGAGCTAGAGCTCGCGGTATACTGAGCCTAGGCTGACGGGTGGACACTAGTTTGTGTCCTCCCGTTACCCTAAGGAGAACTATGGGGAAAAGCCTTAACCCCATAGTTCTCCTTTAAGGATTTAATACCATTTCTTTAGCATTTTTAACTTGAGCTTCTTTGGGAGACAGTTAAACTGGTGGGCTTAGTTCTGCTTTAAAAAAAAATTCACAGATTTAAACCACCCCCAGTACTGGCCAGGGGTGCATGAACTATGGCATCAGCTTGCTTTGCCACACAAGTTTAAACCTGACCTTCAGGAAAGAAAAACCTTCACCCTGGCAGTGTGGTCCCCTTCGCACTGCAAGAGTTAATTGCTTGTTTTGCTTAGAGGATGATGAATTATAATCAGTTACAAAAGTAGAAGTTTTTTTTGTACCGGTTTTTGGTTCTTCCCAGAGAGCAGATATCTTGGCCACATATGGCATGGATTTTTTCCTGGGACCGGATTTCAGAAGGACAGTGTCTCGGACTCTGATAATCTCTCCATTCCTCTCCACAGCTTGATAACTTCTTCGGAGAGCGGGCTCAGGCTCATTCTGTGAAAAGAAATAAAAATTCAGCTGTTGAGTATGGTCTCAGGAATGGTCTCAGCTGCTCTTCAGGTTTAGAGGACATTGGAAGTTGGGTAATAGACCGAGCTTGGATGAGCTCCCTACACAGCTTTACAAAAAGCCTGAAGGGAACAGCATGCAAATTGGTAAAATGCAGTATTAGCTAATGGGTAATTAATTATTGCTTTAACAGCCAATTGGTAATTTATCTTCTTATACCTTTTTATCTTTTAACTCTCCATTAAAGTCCTGAGGCTGTTGCTGAACACTGCCTTCTTGGATGTTATAGCAGCAGTCCCAGCAGACTTTTAGCCATCACTTAAATTACACTCTGGCGCCTTGGTTCTCAACTGGTGGGCCGTGACCCAAAAGTGGGTCGCGACCCCGTGTTCAGTGGGTCCCCGTGTGCCTTCCACTTTTCTAGGTGAGAGGTTCCTCAGCCTCCCCCTAGCGCAGGAGTATCAGTTCTCGCGCCAAGCAGCGATTCAAAATATGCCGCCCGGTGCTGAATGTCAGCTTGAGGTGGGGTGAGCTGGAGGTATGGCCACGAGGGAGCTCCATCCATACTTGCATTGCTTACAGCTCACTCACATACTATTTTTATTCTTTATAAACTTTTTAATTTTTTTAATTCATTTACTTTCAGCAAAATATATATTGCTGAATACTGCACAAAGTTGTTTTGTGTAATAAATTAAAATGTAATCATTTTTGGGTCACGCCTTAATGACCAAGGAAAAATGTGGGTCCCGAGGTTACACAGGTTGAGAACCACTGCTGTAGAGGTGCCTGGACTGGAGTGACATTATAATCTGGCTCCCGGCACCTAAGGGCATGCATGGAAGCTGTAAAAGCAATGCACATATGGATGGAGCAGAGTCACAGCACTGCAGCCCACACTGCGTTTCATTGCAGTGCAACTTGGGTCACGACCTAAAGTGACATTAAACCCTCAGACTTTTTAACATAAAACAATACTGTAATGTGTGCCTTTTCATGCTGGGGCAGAACTTCCCTTTGCAGCGGAGTGCCTCTTCCTGTAGTGCTGGCTCAGGTTGTGAACCTACACACAGACACCATGTATCCATTCCAGAGACAAGGCAGTCTGCTGCAAAACAGAAGTTCTGCCCAGCATGAGAACAGATACAGATTTAAAAGGAAGAGCAGCAAAGAGAAGGGAAACAACCATGGATTACAGTAAGGCACACATTACAGTATAGTTTTATGTTTAAAAAAATCACTTTAATGACCGAGGACAAATGTGGGTCTTGAGGTTACACAGGTTGAGAACCACTGCTCTAGCGTATTCCCTTTCACTCCTCCCCCAGCATCTACATAAAAGTGTAGGGAGGGATGAAGGAGCTAGACCAGCACAGAGTAATAAGACAACCCCAGAGGAGGACAGGGCTAAGATATTCGACGTGCTAGAGAAATGTCTGTTCCTGAAGTGGTAACATTTTCTAGAAGGTCTATGGGGCTCATCTATCTCTGTCTCCCGGTCAGGAGACAAGCCTCATAGATCTCTAGAGGGGCTCTACTGTGCAGGCACAGCCAGGACAGAGAGGACTTGCAGTGCAGGATGTCAACAAACAGGCTGTAGACATCAGATCTCGTTAGGTCTAGATCAATGGAGGGGGAAGGTGGGATCTGTTAGGTCAGGGGATGGGGGGAAAGGATAAGTGCATTTTGCTTGAAAGTGCACTTATTCTTTAAAGCTACTGACAAACTATATCACAAATGTTATTTTTGTTGAACTACCCCACAAAGTGCACCTATCCTTTTTTGCCTCTTTGCCCTGACACAACCTAATCCACCCTCCCCGTCCACAGAAGCATAGTTACATCGATCTGATGCCTGCAAACTCCAATGACTGTTAACCACCTGGATGCGCATGTGCATTACAACCCCATAAGACTTATGCAGTTGTCTCTCTTGGCCAGACACAAAGACAGGCAGTCCCATAGATGTCTATGGGGCAACAATGCGCAGATGGAACCAGTATGTAAATAATTGCTTCAGGCCATGGCAGTCAGGGCTGTCATTCAGGGCTCTGTTAGAGAGATTTATCACAATTCCCACCATACTGACAACTGTTTTACCAAGTACAGAAGAAAGAAAAAGTTCTCTCTTAGGTCCGCTCAGTGGGCGAGTGCAATAGCCAGCCTGCAATTTGAAATAGCCAATAGCAGGATGGCTATTGTTCCCCATTGTTTACATTCTGCTGCCAACAGTGGAATCTAGCCAGCAACTAAATACATTTTTTAGTATGCATCAAGTCACCGGCACAAAAAAAAAAAAATCCAAGACATTATTCCTGGATATTTTTTATTTTTTTGGCCGATTGCTTGAATGCTGGATAATTAGTTTACTGTATTTGTTTGATCTGGATTAATTACTGAAAAAAAAAGTTTGAGAGTTTACTACTACTTTAAGTTAAAATGTAGGAAATAAGCACAAGAGGGGTGCCTTTCCTAGATTCTCAGCTTTCCCAGCTTCTTTGGGGCAGCATCCTGCAGTATGCCTAAGAGGATTTTCCACTAAGGATTGACAGTCCATGGCGCTTCACTGTTTTTACTTTGTTAAGTTAAAATGTCCCTAATGCCAAAACATCGACTTTTCAAAGTTTTGGACACAGTGGTGAAGAACCCGTCAGGTTTTCATTTCTGTATCTCTGTTGGATGGATTCAACCTCTATATTCGTCCTAGTGACCACTGCCACTAGAACAGAAACAGAGGGGGAATCATTCACCGGGGAAACTTGTTCTACGACAACGTTCTTTCTAAGGAAGGATTTCCCTCACTTTGAAGAGATGTCGTCCTTTCTTTTTCTGTTGTGTCTACAGGACAAGAAGTTCAGAAGAATTTCCAGAATGGGATACAGATGGTAAAAAACATAACACGGGACTTATTCTCTGTGTTGTATTCTCTATTCAGAACATAAAAAGGTTTTGGCTTTAGTTATACTTTAAAGAATAAGTGCACTTTCATACAAAGCACACCTATTCTTTTCGCCTCCTCGCCCCTGACCTAACTGATACCCCCCAGAGATGCATACCTACCATGATTGGATGCCCATGGCCTCCTGTCTTTGATGACATCCCACCTGCAATTCCTTTCTCTCCTAGTCATGCCCGCCCAATAGAGCACCATACAAGTATATGGGGCTCTATTGCACAGAAGTGTCCAAGAAAGAAAACAGCCAGCAGAGCGGGTTGTAAACGATCCCCACAGACTGCAAACATTGAATCGAGGTAAGTATACATTTGCGGAGGGGGAGGGTAGGATCTTTTAGGTCAGGGGAGGGGGCAAAAAGGATAAGTGCACTTTTTTTTTTCTTTAAGTGCACTTTAACAATTTTGCGAAGACATTCACTTCTGACACCAAATATGATACACGAATGATACAGCAGCAAACCTTTACATCGGGTAAAAAAAAAATTCTATTGGAATTATAACGTATTAGTGTCCAGTAACTGAATGTATACTTACAACTACATAGACTGCTTTCTCACAAGCTGTACCCAAAGGCATCCAGCCATTTGTTGCTCTTCTACTGCTGATCCTCTGCTGTTTGGGGTGGTTGTGGCTTTTGTTTGTCTTACTGTCAGCTGCATGCACACATCCCGGTGTATTTCGGGCTCCTGACTTGGATCCGCTGGGGGGCTTGGAGCTCTGCGGACACTCACGAGCAGTTTTCAGCATGGCCATTGTCTGAGGTTCGGAGTTGGGGGTCTGCAGGTAGGGGACAGGCTCAGCAGCAGGTGGGACACTGGGAACAGGGCATCCTGAGAGTGGGTGAGCAGGAGACACCGGGTGACCTGCTGTGGGGATTGCTATGCTGAGCTGGTCCAGTGATGTGTATCCCTCTAAGAAGCAGGAAATAAGTAACATGGATTAATGGCAGTGATAGTTTGAACAACCAGTGCAACAAGGTCTCTGTTCTAAATGAAAAAATATAAAAACCATTAAAATTACAACCAGCCCACAATTTCCTTGAAATGGGAATGCAACAGATAGGCAGACTGGTAGCCTTCACCCCTAAAAATATTGTGTGTTGTGTTCAGTCCTTCACTCCATGATGGCAGCTGATACAGAAGGCATCTATGTGGGCCATTTTTGGTTTCCTGGATTAGCTTAGCTAGGGCATGCTGCATAGGAAGTGTATAGCAAATATTTAAATCCCTGTTAGCAAAGAACCTTAAAAGTGGACCTTTACCCATATATTTAAAAACAACAAGAAACACACCTTTAGAAATGTTTAATAATAACAATCTAAAAACACATACTTCTAGATAACTGCACCCTTCGTATTCTTTGCATACCTTATTTCTTCCTCAGTCTTCAGACAGTGGTCATGTTTATTAAGGGCAGATTACTAGCTCTTTTACTTCCTGGATTTCTGGCACATGTGACTAGGACATGTGACCATGCACATCACCTCAAGGGAGGAAAATACCTTTCCCTGGGATCTCCTGAGATTACAGATGAGATTTCCCAGCAATGCTCTGCTGATGAAAAGGCAATCCCAGTGTGCATTGCTTTTCCAAACTGAAGTCAGGAAGTGAATGCTCTGCAAGTGTAAATATTTCAAAATCACAGCATATTATACACGACATGTCTATGTTATCATTACTCATTATAGAGTAATGTTTACAATCGGAAGTTTGGGTGGTTCCACAAAGAGTGGAAACCATCATGTATTTCTGCATGTGAGATGCTGCACTCAATGACATGATAGTTTCTAAAGCAGAGATTCTCAATAATTCTCCACTAAATTCTGCCCATAGTTTTGCAGGGACATAAGAACACATATGTAATTGGCACATGCCTGCCCTATGTATATAAACCTACCATATACAGAAAAGGAAGCAACATCAAGTAAACCTACAGTTACCTTTAAAGTTTAAATCCCCCCAAACTTGATCTCAGCTGTAAGTGAAACTTAGTAGGCAGAGTCACCTTTAACTTAAAGTCGCTACATAGAGAGATTCTCGTGATTCCCGAGTAGGTCACTGCCCACCTAGAAGTCTGGAGGTATTGAAACTAGGGATGCACCGATATATCAGCCACCAAAACATATCGGCCGAAAATGGCACTTTTGGCAAAATGCCAAAAGTGCAATTTTTCAGCCAATATAGTGGTGCATCTGTTCTTTCTCTCCTCCCCGATGGGTGCTGTGGGAAGAGAGTGCTGTGAGCGGACAGCGTCTCTCCTCCCTCCACCGCTCAGCCTGCTTCACACATCAGAGGAGAATGGCTGTGTGCGGCGAGGCAACCAACAGTGTCACAGGAGGCTGGTCGGCGGTGTGGGGGAGGAGTCAGCTGTCAGATCAAGCTCCCCCCCCCCGCACCGCCGGCCGGCTTCCTGTGACAGCCGTCAGGAAGGAAAGCAAGGTACAAACACTCAAGTGATCGCTGAGTGTTTGTAAATAATTGGAGGTCATAGTATGTTTACTATATCCTCAATTATGAATGAATGGGAAGTGATTTACATCACTTCCTATTCTTTCACGATTGTGGTTATAGTAAACATACTCTGTCCTCATGTTATAAATGAACAGGAACACTCAGTATAGAGGATTCCTGTTCATTTATAACAGGGGCTGCAGAAAAAGATTGAGGACTCCGTGTTCTCAATCTTTTTCTATTTTAAAAGGGAAATATCAGGGGTCTGTTTAGACCCCTAATATTTCCCTGAGGCACCTAAAAGTAAAAAATAAAAACATTTTTTAAAAAGTTTATAAAAAAATTAAAATACAATATTTAAAAAAAATTTGAAAAAGTAAGAAAAAAAATAAACATTTTTGGTTTCAGCCTGACATTTTCTTTAATTGCGGTTTTAAAATTTTAATTTCTGTGCACCTCCAATTACAACCCATCTTGGAGATTTCCCTCTACTGCTGTCCCTGCTATTTTTGAATCCTCCATAACAAACATCCAACAGGGAGAATAGGAACACCTTATAATAATCATGGCACATAAGCAACTGGGAACTCACAAACAGAGATCTCACCATCAGGAGTCCATTGCTCACTGGACTCCTTTGACATCAGTCCCCCAGCTAACAGATTTCCTGATCTGCTCTCAGTCATTATCTCAGAACTAGTGACAGGAACATACAGCTATAATCACAGTATTGGGAAGACGGGTATATTTTACAGCATAAATTGCTTCCAAAAACATACTGCCAAAGAGCTTAATGGCTTGTTTTCTGCAATGTGATTATCAAGCTGTGCAGGAGTTCACAATCAAACTGTGAAGCTGGCCATACACCTTACAACTATCTGCAGAATTTCTGTGGTCAGATGGAAAAGGTGCAACAGATTCCTCCATCTACACTTAACTGTGTGGATGGAGTAATCTCCAGCTAGGCCAATCTGTTGCACTTTTTCCATCTGACCACAGAATATCTGCAGATAATTGTAAGGTGTATGGGAACCTTAAGAACAAAGCAATCACAGCAGATATCATCCAATCTGACAATAAAACTGCCTATTAATGGCCAGTTCACATTTGCTAGCTTGGAATAGATCACCAAACTGAAGTTTTCCCAATCAGCTGGGAATCTCTATTGCTTTTAGCCGAGATATTTCTAAAAACGGCACCATGTCCATGCTTCACATCAATGTCTATGTCCTAACGGTCAGCACTCTTCGTCACCAGTGTCTTGTAACTGGCTTCCAGCAGCAACTGGTTGTTTTAGTTGCCTATCAACAAGCAGTCAGTTGGCAGTAAAGCAGAACATTCAATAGGATTCTAAAAGAACAAAGTATAAGTAAAACCTTTAACAATACATATTAACAATAATAGCAAGGCCACTCTTATTATTACCCACACACCAATGATATTAAAGCTGAACTCCTGGCAGATATAAGAGACTCATTACTGCAGCTCTGTATTCATTAAAGCAGAACTCCAGGAATTATGTTTTTTGCTTGGCTTGAGGTAAGTATCCATATCTGATATCCGGAGGGCCACTGGGATGCTGAAAATGACAGTCGCTGCCCGTGCTAGATACAGAGATAGCCATGATCTTCCAGGTGTGGCTCCAATGGATTGCCCTCTACACACGGAGCATGGGGAGTTGCTCGGTCGGCACCACTGCCATTTAGAGAATGCCTAGTATTTTATTCAATGCATGCATGGTATTCTCTGATTGGAGGAGATGCAATTTGAGACTTCATGTGCCTCTCCTCGCTACATTGTCCAATCAGAGGACTCTTTGTATACATTGGGGGAAAAGCGGGGGCGGGATTTATCAAAACTGGAGTAGACAGTTTTATTGTCTTTTCATTTTTTGTTTTTTGTTTTTTTTAGTTAAGCTTTGAAAATGGGCAACTGCTCCAGTTTTGATTACATTCCCCTCAAGGTGTTCACTGGATGGCGGTGGTGCTAAGGGATCAACTCCCTGTGTTCAGTGTGCAAAGGGGAAGCTGCTGGAGCCACACACAGAAGATCATAGCTATCACTGTATGTAGTGCCAACTGCTACAATGATTTCCAGCATCCCTAGTGGCCATCTGAAAATGGATATTTGCATCGAGCCAACCTGGGCCAATGTAAGTTTCCATAAAAGATAATTGCTGGAGTTCCTCATCAATAAATGTATTTTTTTTTGTAATGCATGCAGTGAAACTTCCAAAATCTGACCTGGTATCAGCCTTTTACACTCCCTGTAAGGCAGAGCTCAGGCTGAGGGTGGGAGAAGCAACACAGGCAGCCAATCAACTGTGCTGTATTGACAGATGCAAAGTGATAGGAGGAGAGATCAGAGTGACAGATGGATGAGCTCACCAGTGTGCCGCTTCTGCTTTCACTGTCCAGTCATATGCTAGGGAAGTGACAAGACCTGAAAGTGTTACTGAAATGCATCCAAAAAAGTATTCTTCCCTGCCAGACAGAATTGTTCTGTATAAATCTTCCGACTGGATGGACAGAAATACAAATTCTTTGGCATGTAATACAGCTCCTCCCTTGTAGGTATTCCATGTATGCACTTACAATAGCCGTTTGCCTAGAGTTGAACTTTAATTCTATATAAAATTAAAAAGGTAGGACAACATTTGGACCCTGCGTCATAATATGCAATTGTATAGAATTGTAGCAGCACCCTGTAAATATACGACTGGCACTGGACAATTCCAGCTGAGCACCGCAATGTCCTTGTGTTTACACTGGTTCAGTAACATATTGTATCTGTGGATATCACCTTCTCAACCCTTAGCTAAGCAGTGTAGTGTCCCTTGAAATATCACTTCATTTAATTCCCAAGTGAAAAATCTAAATGCAAATACCACCAACCCCAAAACCTCAGGAGCAGTCCCTAAGAGTCTTACATTCTCAGTCCTGGCCCAATGCTTCTGGAGCCATTGTACATGGTAGACTTGTGTTTTTGGCTGAAGAGAAAAAAACAGCTGTTTGAATATCATTAATGCTCTGCTTTAAAGTCAGAGGGCATAACTCATAGCAGCTAGAAATCACTTCTTAGCAGATCTGACTACAGTACACAAATCTGGAACGCAGTGCATTGCGTTGACGATTTTTTTTTTTGTAGCTGCAAATGGGCTTACAGGTGTGTTCCAGTGCATTTGTATGCGTTTTGGATGCATTTGCATGTGTTCCAGTGCATTACAGACCAGACAAAACGAGACTAGCAGTATTTTTCTGGTCTGGACCAGAACAGACTGCACTGGTGTGATAGGAGCCCAGATGTACCATAGGGATACCTTGGGATGCTTTTTTGGTCCGGGAACAAACCGATAATTGTAAGGTGTATGGGCACCTTCATACTGGTCACTGGAAGTTCAACATGGCACCTCATGGCAAAGAACTCTGAGGATATGAAAAATAGAATTGTTGCTCTACATA